TATCCTAAGATGCAACTATGATAAAAGTATGTCTTTTACATCATTCATACAAACCCGCCCATTTGATTTTTCTAGCCCCCGGCGTTTATTTAAGGCCCCTTCCCCCCCCCCCCCCCGCTCCAAAAAGTCGATTTTCGTCAAAAAAAATGGATCTTGAGATAAACACATGGGCATGATGCTTGAGTTGTCTACTTTACAAATCCGTAAAGATATTATTGAATCTCTGAGTTTTTTATGGGATTTTCGTAAAAAAACTTAAGTTAGTTGGAAATATTATTAGTTATATAGACCCAAACAAAATGACTAGTTGCTTTTTTCATTATATATTCGTTTTATTTCAAAACAAACACGATACATCACAACAATCATAGTGCAATGCACTGTGATGTGTATCTACCATTGGCATGCGATTCTTGCATTTTTATATTAGTTGCAGGTAATATTCACAAAAAAAACTTGTTTATCGTTTTTCTCAAAACCGATTTTTTTGCAAAATATCAATCTCTGGACAAATTTTTCTTCACTATAGTTTATTCTATTAAACTGCGTTTTTTTTATTTGATAAATAGATATATCCTTCTTCAGATGACGAGAAGGAATTTTTTATTTGACTCTCAATCTATGAGCAATCAGGTATTTTATGAAAAATCCTACATAGGATTTTCAGAACTTCAAAGTTTTGTAGATCTCACCAAAGAAAAAAAATCAAAATTAAAAAACCCCTTCCCTCATCGGAAGCACCAAGGAGTTCTCTTTCAAATGAGACCAGCCCGAGCGCTTCATCTCTAAGTGTATTGAAAAAATCCTTGTACGCGTGGCACCCTCATTTTGCCCCTTGGTACTTGTGTATCTCCCGAACGGAAAGGGCTAAAGCCATGAAAATTTTTTTACACTTGTACCTTTATGGGTCCAGCATCTGTAGAAAGTTTCATGAAGATTTCATGCACCATGTTGAAAATCGATTTTGGAGGGGGGAGAGGCCTTAAATAAACGCCGTGGTCTAGAAAAATCAAATGTGCTGGTTTGTATGAATGATGTAAAAGACATACTTTTATCATAGTTGCATCTTAGGATACGAACAGCGACCAAATCTAATACTTTCACAAAACACTATTCTTGTTACGGCTTGCCTTTTTTTTTATATAAAGTTTCCAGTCGAAACTCGAAAATGAACTTTTTTTGGATACGGCATTTGTACTTTAACAAATATCCTAAAAGTACAATAGCTCCGTAGCAAATTCATAGCTCATCTGAATCAGCATAATTCACATAGTCTCGACACAAAAGCAATTGAACAGTTGGAGAACTTTCCTCGTTAGTTTAGTGTATTTTTTTTCCAAAGCTTTATTAGAATTGTTTTTATCTACTTAATTTCTAGAACATTTGATAATAACAAATGTTTATTCAAACATAATTCAATTGTAATTAATTGAACAATTGCAAGCAAAAAATGCATTTTCTGCCTATCCCTCAAAAATCGAAGTTGAAATAAATTGTATGGAAATATAGTCCGAATTCTAATCTCTCATAAATGACATGATTTCTTTTATTTGATATTCCATTTTCTCTTGAAATTTTAGTTTGATTTCCATCATTTTCTGTTTGAAATACATGCTACTTTCAGAAAATAAACAGACAATGTTTTTCATTTTTTCTGATTGTGAATCCGAAAGTTCTCGAAGAAGCTTCACTATAGTCAATTACTATTTTTTTGTTTGAAAGACTATATGAAGTTGCAATATCCTTTTTTTTATATTAAGTTTTTTTTTTTTATTGTTTTATAGAAAACATTTCTAAAAATAAATGGCAATTTTTTTTTTGAAAGCTTGTTAAAATATTGAACTTGTCATCCATTTCCTCTGCATTAAAATTAAGAATTAAACAACAAGAACTCTGCATTTTGACAAGTTCTTTCCAATAAACAAAAATTTAAATCTATTAAATGACAGTCCAAAAAGAATTTTTGTTTACCAAATGAACTCTTTACATATCATGCGATTTGAATGCACTTGATCGAACATCAATTTTTGAGAGGAGCTTAAGAATGAAACTTTACACATAATAATAACACAATATCTCAATCGAAATATCTTTAAGATTAAAATTCAACAAGTATTTGCACAGAGATTTTACCTAATCATTAACATATTATATCAAAACAACGAATAAAACTATCTACAAGTTTTCTAATAATTACCTATGACAGATACTTTTGATCTCAAAAATGTAAAATTTGTTTTCAATCAAGAACAAAAATAAATTTTTATGATGTCATATACTTTTATATACATATGTATATGTTGATATAAGTATACGTAGACATATGTGTCTGATGAGACCTTTAGTAGTTTTTCATCTCCTTGTATACATAAATATGAACGAGACGATGAGTACCCACAAAAAAAGAAGAAAACGACGAAAAGATCAAAAGTTACATCTTTATTAACTTGACGATGACTATACAAACGAATAGGAAGCAGACAAAATCGTCTATGCGTATTTCGGCTAATAACCCCAAGGTAAACACTCATTTAGAAAAAAAAATGGAGGATAGGGCGTATGTCCAATATTGACTATTATACACATACATACATATAATGTATATCTTTCGGTCATTTCTCGCATTTATTTGACGTGAATATCTTTAACGTTTAGAACTATGAGAATGAATCTTTTATATTGTTTTTAACGAGTATGTACGGAAGGACGACATGGTACAATGGTTAATGATTATTCTTGTTTATGATTTTGCTGTTCTTAAAGTTTGTTTAGAAAAAGAAAAAGCATATATTTTATTTTGATTATTTAAATTATTTTATAGTTATCATTAAGTGAAGTAACATTATCATTACGTTTACTTCATTATAAAAATCCAAATGGTTTAACATATGAAAATCGTCCATGTGATACAAGACTTGAACATGATATCAATCGAGATGGTCGATGTGATACAGCATTTTTATTTTGTCTTGTACGTTTACCGTTTCAAAATCCACATAATTGTACATTAGGTGATCATTTTACGGGTGTTGTTGGTGCTAATGATATACATTTTCTTGATATTGATCAACAACAACAAGATAAATTGGATACACAACAAAGATCATTATCACTTGTTTCAATATGGTTTCAATCAACAATTCATTTTCGTTTTAATTATCCAAAAGTATTTTTTTTTTAAATAATTTGTTGTTTTTTATTTTCTTGTTATATTATTTAGACGGGTATTGGTATAATTGTGGAAGTATTTGATGTTGATGATATTGATAATCGTACAATCCATGATTCAATTGATTTCTATGGAAGAACTTTAGCTGATCTTAAAATTTATCGAACAGAGGAAATAGCACAAAAACAAAGAATTTATCTACGTAGTTTATTTGGTACACATACGAATTTAACAGCAGATATTTCGGTTTGGATTTTTTTTCTTTTTCATGAATATTCTTTAAATTGATTAAATATAAATATTTGTTTTTTAAGCTTTATTGTTCACCGAATTTTTATAGTAATTATTGTGAAATACGTTGTATACCAAATGAACAACGTTATGATTGTGATTTGAATACTGGACAAAAAATTTGTAAACATGGATATTTTGGACAAGATTGTCTTAGTGGTAAAAATAGATTAGGAAAATTAAAATACAAAACAAAAAGAAAATGTTTTCTGTCGTTTTAGATGTTCGTGCTTGTGAAGATCAACCATGTTTAAATAATGGCACATGTGTTGTATATCTTCGAGGTTATTTATGTCGATGTCACAAAGGATATACTGGACGAACTTGTGAAATTGGTAAATATTCAATAAATTTGTATATACTTAAATAAATTCTGTTTTGCTTAGGTCCAACAGGAAAAATGACTGAACAGGCATGTAATCAAATAAATTGTGTCCATGGTAATTGTTCGAAAAGTGGAAAATGTATTTGCCATGATGATTGGACATCGGAAACTTGCAATCAAACTTCGATAATGAGTATATTTGTTAAGTTTATTAATTATTTATAAACAAAAATATTTTATTATGATATAAACTAAACTCAAAACTTCTAGCCTTCATCGATATTGTAGTTTACAGGTTTGAGCTATATATAGAAAAAGAGAGACTTCAAGTAGCTAATCTAGGATTTGGGGAATGGAAGGTGGCAGTCATCACAAATAGAGGTGTAAGCCATACAGCTGCGCCGCCGCCACGGAATCGGAGATAGTTTTACAATTTTTTTAGCCGCCGCCGCTATGGAAAAAAATTGGACCATTAAAACAGCCGCCGCTGTTTGACCCTTCGGCTTACACCTCTAATCACAAAACGTGTTTTCAAGTTCATTAGAACTTGTATTGGGTCATTTTTAGACTTCTTCCGCTGAGAAAAATATTTCAGAAGGGAGGAGCGATCGTTTCCAGTACTTCTCCACATCCGTATTTGGAATTTTCCAATGACGCGAACTCAACCAAAAATAGTCAAGAAAAGTTTAGCAAATAATTTCGAACAATATTTCATTATGTATATGACTTATAATTTATCTATTCATTTTCGTTGTGTTTGATAATTGATAGCTGTCGCGAATAATGATATTTCATAACAATTTTTTAATTTCAATTCGAATTTCAAAATTACAGTTAAACTACTTAGTTTATTTCACCAGTTCTATATCGCAGAACAATGATCATCATTGCTTTTGTATTCAGTTATTATTCTCTATTGAACTACATTTTCTAAGATTTGCTTTCTTAGCTATTGTCATGTTCAGTATATGTGTTAGTATCGACAGTTATATCTCTGGTATTTGACTCTTTCATCCGAACATCTTGCCAAAAGAACGAAGCAGTGAGGTATATCAATTATGAAGTAATTAGCTAGCTTTGAGCCTAAACTTTAGACTTATGGAGAGGATCTTTCCTTCTTTGCGCAAGAATTTGAAAATTCAATACCTCAGCTTAGAACATGAATCGTCTACTCAGATATGAATATTATGATAGTTGTATAAAGCGTTGTTTGATGTCGTATTCACATCAACTTGTCTTCAGCAAAGAAGAGAGCGACGTTCTGTTAACTTCTCCTTTCTTGTAAAAAAAAGAAAATTAACTTATTTATTTAAATTAATACTTGCTCTGGAACTTGATATGTTGAGAGAAATCTGAATAAAAAGTATGGTTTAGTTTTTTAATTAGTGCTGACCATTGGATTTCATGCTGAATTCAAAAGTAAGTTTTAATTGAGATAGGCATATAAACTCTCGACTAAGTTACGAACATATTCGATACCCTTGTGCAACACTCGTTTACATTCATGATCGTGATTTTTCGACCATGGTACCTTTTGTTCGAGTTTACAGATCCTCTCTATGTATGCAAAGTATTAGTTCAGACATGGTCAATGATTTCCTAGACTTTCTTCATAAATTACATGTCTCATTAACTTGTTCTTTTGACTACACATATTCGAATACAAGGCTCAAATATCGTGTTACCAGCCTATGTGGCAATCTCTGATTTATAGTAATTATTACTCCAGCTGAGATTTAATTTCGTTTTTTTCCTTAATACACGAATAGGAGAATCTGGTTGTGTAAGTCGTCCGTGTCTACATAATTCAACATGTGAAACATTAATTGGTGTTAATCCACCATCAGCTTATCGTTGTCATTGTCGATCAGGTTATACTGGTCGTAATTGTGAAGTTGGTAAGATATGAAATATATTGATTTATTATTTTATAATAAATATTTTTCTTTTTCCGCTTTCTTCTAAAAGCAATTGTTATTTCATGTGAACGAACACCATGTGTTCATGGTCAATGTTTTAAAATTGATTTATATACAGAAATTTGTGTATGTGAAAAAAATTGGAGTGGAATTGATTGTTCTCAAGCTTTATCAAGTAAGAAATAAATAATTATTTATTATTTCTTTATTGTAATTTCATTCTTTTTAGCTTCTTCAACAACTCAGAAATCTTATCCATTAACAACAATAACATCAGCAAAACTTATTCAAACAACAAAACAAATGAAAATAATTAAAAATGTCACTAATATATCTTTAAAACATGATCTACGTGATTATCTCAATTGGTTAAATATAAATTATGGTATAACTAGAACAACAAAATTATTTCAACAACCTGTTACAACACCAATAATATCTCATAAATATGGTATGAAATAAAATAGAATATTATTTGATAGAATATTTCTATTGTTATAGAATATACATCATGTTTAAGTGCACCATGTCTTCATAATTCAACATGTATTGTTAAATCTGATTATTCTTTTCAATGTGTTTGTCTACCATCATTTATTGGAACTTATTGTGAAGTTGGTAAGTAAATTATTTGACTTATTTTTATGTAAATCTGATTACGTTATTACTGCAGAAATTTTAAATATTACACAGTTTCGTAAGTGTAGTTTTAGAATAGATTAAAAGAAAAAAAGCATGCATGTTAAATAAAATAATTTTCTATTCATATATCATATGAAAATTTTCTTAAAGAACAAAATCCATGTGAAAGTTCACCATGTCAACATCAAAGTGTTTGTGTAACAAAATCTAATCGAACGATTCATTGTATTTGCCGACCACATTATACAGGCAAATTTTGTGAATATCCAGGTATGTTAACAAATAATCGGACAGTTTTTAGATAGGACATTTATTTACTTTGAACTTGCTTGAAAATAAGTTTAGAAATTGTGTGTCTATCTTTGTTCAAGAATAATGAAAGACTTTTCGAAAGATCTGAAAAATTATTTGTAATGGTGAGCCAATAGGTTTTTGCTTATCTTATACGTCCCTTTTCGAACATATTAAATATTGTTGGAGTCGATCATTTTGTAGAATAGACGTCTATCTACAAAACATGATATTCAACTAATGAGAAAACCTCTTCAACTATTCATTTTCAATTTCAATGATTTTTTTTTCCCTATAGATACTACATAGTGTTGTGATGAAAGACCTTGAAAGGATTTCATTTTCGGTCAGGTATAGATCCGAAATAAACTCGACGGGTTCTAGTTTCTCTTGATATTTGACTAAGTTATCGTATCTTTAATATGCCCATTTTCTAGAAGAGTCTATAAGATCCAAGGTTTTCTGAAAACTTGAATTTTCGAATTTTGATCTGAAGCTTTGCGTATATAAAGTACTCCACTAGACTAGCTTCTAGAAAAATATTCACAAATTTTCAAGAAAATATCTTCGCAATATGAAGCTTACAAAAAATGCATGTTGTATATTCACTATTAATGAAAAACAGTCTGTATCTTGATAGTTTCATATCTCGAAGAGACTTTGTTCAAAACTTCTAATCTTTTCTAAAAGCTAGTTTAGTTGAATTTTCTATATGCTCAAAATTTTACATTTGATTCGATAGCTTAGTTACATATCAATAGGAACCGAAGTCTTTTGAAAGTTTTGATTAGAACATTATGTAGTATCTATAGGCAAAAAGAAAACATTGAAATTCGAAGGGAAGATGCAACTAAAGAGGTTTCATTGTAAGCTGTAGCTATTGTCTAAGTGAGACTACGAACATTTTTAAAAAGCTCCTTTCAACGTATAATTGCTGTTGATTTTCCAAAACTGAGCATTTAAGAAGGACGAAATAAAAGTAGTGCATTTTTCTGGGTAGCTTCTCATGTACAAGCTGATGTATAAATAAGGATCTGAACTTTTAGTTTCGAATGGCAATCGTGAAAATATGAAAATGTTCCGTTCAAACTAATTTTTTTGAAGTTTTTAAATATTATTTCACTACTTTCGAATCGAGACAAAATTTCTAAACCCATATTTGAAAAGAACATGAAATCATAGTTTTTGACTTGTTGAAAATAAATTCTAATGAGTCAAAAGTGAACAAACATCTTGTGTAAAAGTTTTCCATTTATCCATTATGTCTTTTTTTGTTATTAATATTTTAATAAATAAAAAATCTTTTAGTACCTTTTCCATTATTACCATTCAATCAAAAATGTACTCGAAATTGCCGTAATGGTGGTATTTGTTTGGTAAATAGAATAGAAAAATGACAAACAAGGAAACAATTTAGATATTTTTATTTAGATTGATGAAGCTAATCGAGAACAATGTATTTGCAAATCATCTTATACTGGATTATATTGTGAATTAAGTAAAACTAATTGTTCGACTAGTAATGGTAAGCTGATTCGATTCAATTACAACAACAACAATTTGTTTAAACTATCTTAGCAAACATTTCATCAACTTTCATATGTTAATCCTATAGAGATTATATTAACAGTTTTTCTCCTAATCTCTTAAACGGATGTCATTGAAACTAAATAGAATCTTTTGAAGAATGACACGTAAACATAGATTTAATGAATAGGATAAAATTTATTTTTGCCTTCCATATCTTCCCGTATAGGAACATTGTAGAGAATCAATTGTGTATTGTTTTGAACGATACTGTATAATCTTTTCTACAAACATCCTTTGTCAAACATTTCAATTGAACATAATAAAGTGCATTTACAGTTAAAAGATGTCTAATTAGTCTATTGTTCGGTAAGAAAGAATTTTAAATCGAAATATATGAATAAATAGCCGATTTACAACTTTTGTGCAGCTCACATATATTTCCGAACAAAATAGTGAGTGTAAGTTTTAAGGTCAAGTTTTCGCGGCTCCCCCCCCTCCTCTCCATTACAGACACTTAGCAACGTAGGCCCTCATTACAGACCTTAGCAACTAATAATAAAAAGTATCAGATTTTCGAGTGCTTTTTTTTTCTTGGAAAATTGATCAAGTTATAATTTTGAAAAATAATGAATATCATTATTTGTGAGTTGATCAATATATATGCTATTGCATAAGGTATGCGATAGATATCATGAATATGTAAAACAGACCTATTTGTCAATTAGTTCAATGATTATAATAATAAGAATGTTAAATTAAGAAAAACGAATTTAAAAAGATGAAAAATAATGAGCGAATAGTAACAATGCAAACAAAAACAAATAGGGCTCTCGTAGAGAAAAATGAAAAAATTCTGTTCGAAATGGAGAAATTAGAGAAGTCATTATTCTAGATATCGATCACCCTGCAAGAGAGCTATAGTCTACCAGAGATTTATCACTTTACGTATTTTGTACTAGTTTAATGAGGCTATAGTGTATATGTGAGTTCCACATTTCAGCCCCAAAGGAGCTGCGCTAACAAGCTTTTTTTGTCTCTCCTAAAATGTCACTTCAACTTCCGTAGCTTTTTCAATTGCACTTGAAAAAAAAGTAATTTATGTAAGGTTCAAATTCGACCTTTTTAAAGATAAATTTCTTAAGGAATATGTTCTAAGTAGAATTCGACAAGTTCTATTAGACACTAAATACCACTTATCGCCATCTAGTATAATAACCGAGAAAGGAAAGAACTTGGATGTTCATTTTGTCTATGGTCACACTCTATTGATGACCACACGGTGTAATAAAAATTGTTCGATAATAGAATGTATTATCGAAATAAGGCTTTGAGCATTTGATAGAGTTCGTCAAGTTGTACTTGGAACATTCCTGAACTAATCTAAATCGGATATAACCTATGTACATAATTTCATTTGTTTAAAGTTAATAAAATATGTTCAGCGATCAAAATTTGTTAAATTTGCCAATTTTTATAGTTTGATCATCATATGTTCTAATAAAAACCTTTTAAACATGATTTTATAATAAATTGTTTGAACTTTCTAATATACACATCAGACAAAAGAAAGAATGTTTATATACTATTTGATAATGCTCGTAAAAAGCCATTAGTTCTTATAAGCAAATTTCTTATCATGATCTTTCTTTCTCTAGCACGTCGCTCAAAACGTCATGTAAGCTTTCGTACTGCATATGTGATTTTTTAGACAGTCAAAATAATCAGAACATAGCAAAAAGTTGATATATACAACTAGTATACTGAAATATTAATCGTTCTAGAAAGTGCATCAAGTCATTTGAATCAAAATAAGATGAACAGAGGGAAAACTCTCTGTTATGAGCATGTAAGAATAGAAGTAGAACAAAGGAAAAGCACTCATTTTAGAAAGGTTTTCCAGTTCAAGAAAACGTGCATATGTCACATTGTTTTTTTTTGTAAGCTCGTAAAATGATGACAGCTTGATAGCGAGGAAATGATCCATGCAACAGGCTAATGGACTACAGCGAAAGGTGATGAATATAAACTCAGCAATACATCGTTTAGAGCTCGGTTTCAAAGTGTTCACTATCACGGGACGTTCAACATGTGAAGTTTTGCTCTAGATTAAACGTTTATGAATTGAACAGTAGCACTATTTCGAAAAAAAAAGAAAAAAAATCTAGTCTTTGTTCACGAACATTTTTAATGGATCTAGCAGACAGGAATACCGCTCATAGTTTTGAGATGAAGACAAAAACGGCGGTCAGTAATTGTTAAACATGCAGCAAGAAAAACTTGTTGAGCATCAGATAAAGTAAAATTGACGAACAAGTAATAATAAATATGGAGATTTTTGTTGATGACCTCTCCAGAATGGTAATGTATTTGATTATTTATAAGTATCTTCAAATATTTATCGTATACATTATTTTCAAATGTCATTCATTGAAATTAACTTAGTTGCGTCTGTTTGATTGCAATATACTCAAGTTTTGAGATAAAATTTTGATGTCAAAGAAAAACAAAAACTAGACAGACTTAGTAGCCTATTCAAAGTTCTGATCTACACAATACTTTTACATTGAGATACAATGGAAACAAAATGAATGAAAAACTTTTGTTGTATCCGTTATCATTTTGTATAATCAGGAGGAAATGAAATAGAGATTGACCTTTTATAATCATGATTCGATTCTATTCAATTCGTATCTGATTGACATATATAAAGGAACTTGAATCTGATTATAGTAATGTCAAAATGTCTACAAACCTAACATCTATGAATCCATCAAAGATGATATTAGAAATAAAATATTGAAATGTTCATTTCAATTAATTACATTGATCTTTAACTATTTATCTTCAATAGTGGTTTCAGAAGAGTCATTGATAAAATAATCACACAAATAGGGAATTGACCTAGCCCATATGTGCTGATGGTATGGATATAACGATCAAATGCATAGACTATTGGACAAAAAGGAAAGAGTAGGATGATTTGAAAAGTCGTACTTTTTCCCCTCTACAATGCTAGTTTTGAGTAGACAAGAATATTATGTTCCTTTTTTCTTTTTGGCTAATATGATTAAAAAAAAGACGAAGATATGAAAAACTATTTTTAACTAAACATGTACTTAGGCACTACTTTTTTTTTTAATAAACACCTGTTTTATCACTAAGAAATAATATAATTAATGAAGACATCTTATCGGCGATGAATATTTATTTGACTTGTAATGTGATAAGGTATACAAAAAATAATATTAATGATCTACGTCATTCCCTCCGGTTATCTCCCTGTGGTAGCTGCAGAACTCATTCAATGGTTTAGGATGTCTTATCTGACAAGCCATTGGAATACTTATGAAATGCATTTGATTTACTAGCAAACATTTTCGTCAATATATCTCATGCAACACGTCTCCTGAGATATATTTTATCTTCAAATAGAAAATGCTTCTAAGAAAAATTTTATTTGTTCAGATTTATCAATTTTGTATGTCATTCTCTTTAGAAACAAGGTCATCAAACAGAATAATAGTATTTTTAAGCAACCAATAGATCAAAAACTTCTTTAAAACTAACATAGATTTAATTGTAAATCACATGATTCAATTTCTTTCAATGTTGTCTCTGTCGATATCCACACCAGCGAACATTTATAAATCAAAGGTTAATAGATTTAGAAGTGTATTTCAATGAAAGCAAACAATTCTCTCTTTTTTTTTCACATGAAAACTAATAGTTTGAGCAGTAGACAAGTTTTGTTTCTATTGTTGCAAAGTATATCTGTCTTGTTCGAATTCACATAATACAAACATCACTCTCGATTAGAGCTCATCGGGTCCAATATTTTCAGACTTGGATGCAGTCAAACTGTACTTAGATACGTAATGAGGCTTTCTAATCGGAATTAAACAGTTGCCCTGAAATACGTGATAATGTTTTCTGGATTTTTATATTCGGTACCCAACGTATCCTACACATTTCTCAGACTAGAACGTATGGAGTCGAAAATTGTCGGACTCCGACTCGATAGACTCTATTCTCAACACTTGATTGTAATATTTTGAGAAAAGCATAATTATTAATGAATTTTATTAGATCCTTCATGTAATCTTGATCCATGTTTATCAAATCCATGTTTATCAAATGGTACATGTCATTCATTATTATCTACAAAAAATTATACATGTTCATGTCTTGAACAATATACAGGTGAACGATGTGAATTAGAAATAAGTTCTGATCCATCAATATCTTTATCACGTGATACTAGTTTAAATCCAGATGAAAATAATACAGCTGATCTTTGGCCATTAGCTATTGTATTTGGTTATATATTTTCCTTAATGTTAGTTTTTATAATTATTTGGTTTTTATGGTAAAGTTTTTGTTTGAGTTTTTCTAAAATATTATTTTTATTTTCTAAGGTATGGTTTAACAATAAGACCACAATCATATGTACCATATGGAGAACGTGTTAGTGATCGTTATCAACCATATCGTTTAGGTGTTAGTAATCCACTTTTTTTTACAAATCAAGAATACAATACACCTATATCAAAAACATGGTCAACACCAGCAACAACAATATCAAATCTTGATCAATGGACACGAACAATAACTCGTTAAATTATTTCAAAGAAAAAGAAAAGAATAAACTATAAAAAAAAAAAAGAAGAAAACATCTAAGAATATTCTCTGCACTTAGTTTTCTTTTTCGATTTTTTTTCTCATTAGTACTATGTACACATTCAATGGAAAAAAAACAGCAACAGTAAAATAGATGAGCAACAAAGCAAAAAAAAAGCGCATGATTATCATCACCAAAAATCGTCTTCTTCCGATTGTGGTTTATGATGATGATTATTATTATGATTATTGGAATGTTTGCTTGTTGAATCAACATCCGATGTTGAGCTTGTTTCAGCATACTCACGAATGATTTTTACCGGACCTTTACTTGTTGGTGGAGGTGTTGATGAACCAGTATCTTCACTCTAAAAGAAATAAAAAACATTAAAACAAAAAAAAATTTAAAAAAAAAATCTTTGACTTTTTCTTGTTCAGGACGTTCTACAAGATCATCAATTGACGATACAGGTGAACTTGATCGTATTGGATTTGTAACTAAAATTTAAAAAAAGAAAAAATGATTTGTTTACAAATGATTTTTATTTGCTTTATGAATACCTAAATTTATTTGATTAGTTTCACGATTGACAGGTGATATTGTTCGTACTCGTGTTGTATAAACATCGGCTAAAAGAAATGAAATAAAATATTGAAATGATTTTATTGTTTTGTTTTTACCAGATTGTTGTCGAGTTATTTTTCTATTATTACTAATAGATGAGGCAGATGATGATGATAAAGATTTTTGATTAGTATCCATAACAATTGGTTTTTTCATATCAGGATGTTCAAGAATATTTGGTGCACTACCTGAACCATTCTCATTTGTATTAGATGGTTTTGTTGTTGTCAATAAACGTCGATGAATTTTATCATCAAGTGCTGATGGTTTTATTGTTATTTCAGGATGTTCAAAGATACGATCATTACTTTGTGAAATACTTTTTGGTCTATCATTTGTTCTATTTTTTGATGTTAATAAACTCCTTTAATTAAAAAAAAAAAAAAAACAAGAGAATAAAAAGAAGAAGAATTTTCATTCATTCAATCATAAGACATGCGCATTTCAAAATATACTAATCTATTTTATTGTATTTTTTCTGTAGAATTATTATATCGTGAAAATTGCTATTTGTAATGGTTCATGAATTTGCTTTTTTTTTTCTAATGTCAATAATTATGGCTTTAATATAAGAATTTAAATAAATCAAAATAGAACAATTAATGTTTTCATACATGAAATTATTAAGATAATCTCAACGGAAACAAAATCAGATAAGTGGAAAATTTTTCTTTTTTTCTTTTTAAACAACAAAATCTTACTCAGGTAAATTAATTAATGGTTGATCTTTATTCCAATTAAATTTATGCGCATGTGAATTAATATCTTGCAATGATGATGAAGCTGGCATTGCATTTGTTGTTGTTCCCTGTGTTTGTCCACTTAATTTAGCAATTGGCATACGTTTCACTGATGAATAATCAATTTCTATGACAAAATAAAAAAAAAAAAAAAATATTAGAAAAATAAAACACAGCTGTGACAATTTTGTTTCTAACGCATAGAAATCTTAATCATGTATAATATAAAAGAGAAAAAAAATAGGTATACATATCGATAGTTGTCAAGATCAATTGTTTCTTAAAGAAAAAAAAATCTCTCGGTAGAAAAATTCTGCTTATTGCCTTTTCGGATGAAAAATAAAGGTACTCAGACACAAATTAGCTTCTATTCAAGGTCATACAAGAGCGAAAGACATTTTTAAGTAAAAAAAAAAAAGCATCTGTTATCCGTTCGCATCGTCAGGTGGCTAGAAAAAAAAAATTTTCTTGATGATAAAAACTATTTTTTTGTTTACGTATGGTAACAATGCATCGAAGAATGGTGCCTGTAAATACACTGAATAATGATAGTGCTGAATGTCAAAGAAAACCGATGTTTTTTGTGCACACTATATTGTTGATAAAAATATCAAGAAGGTCATATATCAGAAGTTGCTTCTGTTCTATAGAAGTTAAATTATATACAGAAATAAGTTCTGTCTAACGTAATAAGACTATTTGTATGTTTATACGTACTATTTCGCACTCGTCTATATCTCTTGAGACACAAAAAAAAGGAAATTTAAAAGATCAAGTTATTCTTGTTTCTTGCATTGAATATCTATCATTGATGTTTTATTTCCAAATACTTTTGGGAAGATAGTTCTTTTTCTCTAAGACTTTGAGAAGAAAAAAAGAGGAATAGTAACAATAATCGCCTTCGATTCAACGTCGTAGAAAGATAAAATGCTTGTTGATTAGAATGTGCGCATGAACATCGAATAATGACATAAGAAAAAAAAAAAGAAACGAGTTTTCTTTAGATATAAATAGGAATCAAGCAATCCTCTTTTGATTCAGCTTGTTTAAAGAGAGAATGAGTGTGTGTGAGAGAGAGAGAGAGAGAGAGAAAAAAGAAAAGAAAAATCCTCTATTAAACCTACACGGAAAGAAATGCAGAATGACTTTGTGCACCTTCTTTTTGTTCTTTCTTTATGAACATAAAAATCTTACATATTTACAAAGGGTTTCATCGGAAAATCTATTGATTATAGTTAAATTAGCAAATATGATAAACAAATTCATAAAAAAAAAAAAAGAATGAAAGAAAAAACTAATAATATCCATTCTAATATTCTATAAATAAAATACATTATCATGTTCTCTTGTAAAAATGAGAACGATGACTAGAAATAAGTAGATCGTCAAGTCTTGCAATCGACCTAGTTTAGTAGATCAGTAACATTTTCTTCTATTTCTTATCACCCAATCACTGTGTATTTGTGACGAGAACGATTACTCTTATTTTTATTTGTTTCCATGTTGACTCGTTCGTTGGTGCTTGCTATTCTTCTTCTTTTTCTATCTTCTTCTTCTTCTCTCTATTTCTTTATCTTTTCCTTTTCTGCTCGACAATCCCGCAAATAAGTAGGATGACCAAAAGTAAAAAAAAAAAAAAAAAGATTTACGCTTCTCCCGTCTTTAACTCGATCAAATGAGAAAATGATAGAAGCAAAAGAAAAAACGTTCCTAACAATAATGAGATAGTTTTCTATTATCAATACTTTTCAATCATAAATGGAAAGTAAGATACAACATTTTAAATTAAAAAGAACCACATATTTTGTAAATGAATGTTAAATAAACCATCATTTTCCTATTGTTTTCTTTTCGCTGCAAAGATCAAATAGCATGAAAAAACAGAACAATCATCCAAGACATCTATTCACTTCGACAATCAAAATAAACTAGTCTAAATATATATATAGATCGATATGAACTAACAACGAATCTGTTCTTCTACACATTAGACGTCATTTTTAGTTATATGGAAAAAGAAAAAAAAACGAGAAGGATGTTTTTCGAAGCCTTTTAGTATATCTTAAGGCTAAATCTCTATCTATATAGATAGTTGATACTTGTATTCGATTGGATCTCTATGGAAATAGCAAATTTTATATTTTATAATAAACAAGAAATAGAGAAGATTCTTATGATGATACTATTTGTAAATATATGTTAACAAGTTATAACTACAAACATGGTTATAAATACATATACGCTTTTATTTATTTTTTTTTCTTTAGACTAATTAGAAAGCCTTTGTGACTACTAGTTTGTGGTAGAGTTGTCTAAGACGACTTCCTGGCATCAACGGAAGCTCGCTGAAGATTTTAATTGAATTAATCAGGGAAAGAGATTCTTCGTTCACGTCAGTCATGTGCAGGAAATCGGGCATCAAATGAGGTTAGTTTGATATAAATATATCTAGTAGTCAATGTTCTTATAAAAACTTACTCGAATTTGAAAGAAGCATTATATGCTAGAATATATTAATTTATAAAAGTTGCTTATTTAATAGATAGCGAAAGATGCATATACCAATGTACGATTTAGGAAAACGATCGAAAGAATATGAGAAAAGAGAAGAATGGAAGATTTCTCTTTTTTTTGTCTTGTCTCATTCTCTACACTTATTCATCAATAGAAAAAGAGAAACTAAGAAAGAAAGAAAAAAAAGAAGAAAAGAAGAAAAGAAAACGATTTATATCTATGTGTGTTGTTTTAAAAAAAAATACAAAGGAATGTAATATAGAACTAAAACATCAACAATGAAAGCAAAGGCCATTAAAAAAGTACATATTGCATTCCTACTCTAATTTCAAGTACTGATTACTCGTGTTTTTTTTACTAGCAAATGTATTTGACCAACAATTTGAAAACAGAGAACGATTTTGCATCGAAACCCACACATATAATGCGTGTCGGTATGAATGAAGTAAATAAACGCCCATTTAATTTAGACACTATGTAAATACATACATGCTACTCAATATAAATAGGCAATGTCATGCAATTTATTGATGATGATATGATAAAATAATAGAAAAAAAGAAGACAATACTGAAATAGATAGGCAAATTGCATCTATTGCTTGTTTATTATCAATATAAAGTATAAAGAAATTTGCGTTGAATTTATGACTAATAAATAAAACGCAAAAGGCTAAAATAGATAACCGTGTCTAATTAGCAGAACTAATACAACTGTCAGTCACACAGTTTTACTTACTTCTATCTATCTTGGCTTTTTTCCATAATATTTTTCATTAAAAAACTCATATATTTATATCTTTAGGAGTCTTTCTTTTTTTTTTTTTCTTCTTTTTTTCACAAATGAAAATGAACGCAAAATGAGAATACTTCTATTTTTGAAATGCTCTTAATAGTTTTGTGATTACCTGTGGGTTGTAAATTACTTGTATATGATGTCTTAGTCATAATACGATGTTGATAGTCACGATAACTCTCTTCAACTATCTACAAACAAAGCAATAAAATATATAAGAAAAGAAAAAAGAAAATCCTAAGTTCTAAACACAAACATCAGCTTCTCGATCCAGTTCAACCATTCGTAATTTTGTATCTTCAATAAATTGGTTATAATTTGATGAT